CGCTCGGATTCCTCCGCGTAGTCCGCCTTCCCTCCCCGCTCCTCCGGGCGCGCAGGGCGTCAGCGAGGGCGCAGTGTGGTCCGCGGCCCCACGTACCCGGCGCCCACTGTGGGCCTGGCAATTCCAGGCGCTTCGCTCACATCTTCTCGTGGACCCTCTTTACCTACCACAGATGAGGCTCAGAGAAGGGGACCCGCTGGCCCAGGACCCCAGAGCGGATTCATTGCGGAGCTGGGTGTGGCCCCCAAAGCCCCCACTCCCGGAGGTTGCAGTGGGTCTGGGCCGGAGGACCCAGGCCCAAGCAGGGGAGCTAGGAGCAGGATGCCCGAGCCTTCCCCTCTCCGGGAGTGAGTTTCTCCATTAAAACTCTGGGACCTGGACGCTTCTACGAACGCAAAATCGCCCTTCCTCCCCCAAGGCCTCTGGGCTCCCTGGTCGGTAGAGAAAAGAGACCAGAAACACAGAAAACAATGCGGTTTATGTGCATAACTTGGAACTGTAGTGGAAGGGGGCCTGCGAGCAGCAGGGTCTTCGCTCAGCCTCCGCCAGGGGGACAGGAAGGCGAGAAAGGCGTGAGGCTGCAGGCAGCCCTCAGCCAGGCTGGCTTCAGACTGGAGAGTCTCAGGGGGAGGGATCAGCCCCGGGACCCAGGTAGGAGGCCCGGCTCGCAGGGGGGGCTCTGAATGGTTACAGCTCCAGGCAGGCTGAGAGCTGGGCCTCCCACAGCCGCCGGGACGTCCAGCAGGAGTGGTGTCCCAAGAGTGGAGTCCTTCCCTAGGAGGAGGGGACAGTGCTCAGCAGGGAGAAACGTTCCACTTTCTTCAGGGAAGGGGAGCCCTGCCCATCTTACCCTCTAGTCCCCTGGGATGAAACTTCCATTCTCAGCCTCCCCACTGGTAAGGGGATGGGTGAGGTAAGCAGCTCTAGGGGGCAGCCTAAACTCTCAAAGGGTGTCCGTCAACACAAACTGCCCAGCCCACCCAATCATGGTAGTGCTGGTCAACCAGGGCCTCCCCCGGGTCCTGGGTCACCAGGACCATTACCTGGGCCTGGAGAATTTAACCCCCTGACGGCCAGTTCAGCCTCACCCTTCTCTGGAACCAGGGGCTGCATCTGCAAGGAAGAACCCCACAGAAGCAGCTGAGGAAAGGAGCTAGGGCTCTGGCTGAGAGAACAGCCATGGACTGAAGGGCTTAGCCCAGCAACTCCCAAACCCCTGCCCCCCCCCCCACCTTACCAGGGACAGCTCCATGTCCAAGTCCATCAGGGTCCATTCCCGCCCTTGGAGGCTGGAGCCCAGCACCTGGGGGAGCTCTGGGTCAATGGTGCCCCTCCCAGGTTGCACAGCCCCATGCCCTGCTGAAGGCGTACTCACATCCAGGGGCCCTGCAGGCTCCACACTTTCAGGGAGGGCCCGAAGTAGCATTGAAGGCAGCAGACTCTCTGGGCTCTGGCCCCCGCTTTCCAGGCCCAGAGGCCCCCTGTGCACGGAGAACTACTGTTGGCCTGCAGTACCACTCCCCCTCCAGTTAGGTTCCAAAGGAACATGGATACATCGGGGTCTAAATCTAACAATATCTAGAAAGTGGTAGGAGAGGACCCCTCACAGACGGGCACATAGAGTGTCTCTGCCTCCTACCTTTGGCCTGAGGACTGGGTTGTAGAGCTGGGGTCTTGGGATGTGTCCCCTCCCTATGCAATTGCCAATGCCAGTGGTTCTTAAACTGTTGTGTGTTTTACAATCTTTACAACCACCTCAATGGACTCGGTTAAAATGCAGATTCCCGAGCCCTACCACAGAGATGTTTCCACTTTCCAGGACCTCTGATGCTGGTACTCTTATCATTATTATTTTAATCCTCACCAAGGAAAATTTTTTCATTGATTTTTAGAGACAGTGGAAGAGAAAGGGAAAGATAGAGAGAAATATCGCCCTGATCAGGGTCTGGGCCCGGGAGGAGCCTGCAACCGAGGTACATGCCCTTGATGGGAATCAAATCCCAGACCTTTCAGTCCATAGGCCGCTCCATCCGCTGAGCCAAACGGGCTAGGGCCTGATGCTGGTACTCTTTAGAGCAGCTCTGAGAAATCAGGTCATCTCACAGTACCCAACATCCTCCTCAGCCACCAGGGGGCAGACAAGGCTGGGAAGTCACAGGGGCCTAGTTAGTGCTGGTCTACCTGCCAAAGTGGCCAACGGGGCTCATAGTCAAGAATAGGTTCTCTGCTCACCTGTCAGGTACCTCCCTGGGCCCCCTTGGTTCGGGCTGTTGGGCACTCCTGGGCCCCTCAGGGCGGAAGCTCCCTTTTCCTTCCAGGATGGCCTGCACCACAGCCACAGGCAGTGGTGGTGGGGCTGTCACACAGAATCCACACTCGTTTGAGGCCAGAGCCTGCCCAGCCTGGCCGTCCACTCCTGGGCTGGCTGGCTCTTCTTTGAGCAATGCCTGGCTGTCGTCCCTGTGCCAGAGAAAAGCTTCAACCAGACCTGGCACTGACCTCTCCCCTACCCCACAGCCATCTAGACTGCCAGGCTCCCCCCACAGGCTGCCCAGAGGACAGCCCTGTCTGTTTCTCCTACCTCCTGCCACCACTGGAGGGAAGAAGCCTGGTCCCTTCAGGGGCTGGAGAATCTTCCGGGATGTCAGAGATGATGGGTCCCCTGGCCCTGTGAGGAATGCTGAGGCCCAAGGTGGTCTCTGGGAGGGGCTGTAAGTAGATTAGGCCTAACCCTTCACCTCAAGCCACAGGGCAATCCAGACCCAATTAGTACCCACATGGACCAGGTCTAAGGGGGTAGATTTGCAGCCCATGCTGGGGAGTCTGGTCTGGGGGTGGGGGTGAGGCTGACCTCCATCTTCTCCTTTTTGGGGGGAGAGGAAGGGGGGAAAGGAATAGGTTCTCCATAAGCCCAGCTGTGCCCTAGGAGAAGCAAAACCTACCGACTGGATAAAGTAGGGGTCTTGTAGGAGGGCACCAGGTAGGGGGCAGGCACTGAATTTGGCCGGTGTTGGGCATGAGCTCCCCTCATCCAGCATCAGGGACCTGTGCAGGTGGCAGGATACAGATTTCAGCTCATGCCCCACAGTCTGCACTACCTCCCTCCCACAGGCCCCAGCAGCCCAGTCAGCAGAGCTGAGGCCTGTTGCCAGGGCATCAGTCACATGCTGAAGGCAGAAGGGGCTCCCCCCAGAGATGGGGGCCCTTTGGGGGTAGAAAGGGGGTAGGAGGGGGCATGGTTTGAACCCCAGACCCTCTGATGTTGGGATGCTTTGGGGAAAAGGGGAAGGGGCTGCTGGAATGGAAATTTGGGGATAAGGTCCTAGAACTGAAGGATCTGAGAGTTGGGCTTTGGTGCCCTCCCCCCCCCCCCACCTTACCAGGGACAGCTCCATGTCCAAGTCCATCAGGGTCCATTCCCGCCCTTGGAGGCTGGAGCCCAGCACCTGGGGGAGCTCTGGGTCAATGGTGCCCCTCCCAGGTTGCACAGCCCCATGCCCTGCTGAAGGCGTACTCACATCCAGGGGCCCTGCAGGCTCCACACTTTCAGGGAGGGCCCGAAGTAGCATTGAAGGCAGCAGACTCTCTGGGCTCTGGCCCCCGCTTTCCAGGCCCAGAGGCCCCCTGTGCACGGAGAACTACTGTTGGCCTGCAGTGCCACTCCCCCTCCAGTTAGGTTCCAAAGGAACATGGATACATCGGGGTCTAAATCTAACAATATCTAGAAAGTGGTAGGAGAGGACCCCTCACAGACGGGCACATAGAGTGTCTCTGCCTCCTACCTTTGGCCTGAGGACTGGGTTGTAGAGCTGGGGTCTTGGGATGTGTCCCCTCCCTATGCAATTGCCAATGCCAGTGGTTCTTAAACTGTTGTGTGTTTTACAATCTTTACAACCACCTCAATGGACTCGGTTAAAATGCAGATTCCCGAGCCCTACCACAGAGATGTTTCCACTTTCCAGGACCTCTGATGCTGGTACTTATTATTTTATTATTTTAATCCTCACCCAAGGATATTTTTTCATTGATTTTTAGAGACAGTGGAAGAGAAAGGGAAAGAAATATCGCCCATTGATTTTTAGAGACAGTGGAAGAGAAAGGGAAAGATAGAGAGAAATATCGCCCTGATCAGGGTCTGGGCCCGGGAGGAGCCTGCAACCGAGGTACATGCCCTTGATGGGAATCAAATCCCAGACCTTTCAGTCCATAGGCCGCTCCATCCGCTGAGCCAAACGGGCTAGGGCCTGATGCTGGTACTCTTTAGAGCAGCTCTGAGAAATCAGGTCATCTCACAGTACCCAACATCCTCCTCAGCCACCAGGGGGCAGACAAGGCTGGGAAGTCACAGGGGCCTAGTTAGTGCTGGTCTACCTGCCAAAGTGGCCAACGGGGCTCATAGTCAAGAATAGGTTCTCTGCTCACCTGTCAGGTACCTCCCTGGGCCCCCTTGGTTCGGGCTGTTGGGCACTCCTGGGCCCCTCAGGGCGGAAGCTCCCTTTTCCTTCCAGGATGGCCTGCACCACAGCCACAGGCAGTGGTGGTGGGGCTGTCACACAGAATCCACACTCGTTTGAGGCCAGAGCCTGCCCAGCCTGGCCGTCCACTCCTGGGCTGGCTGGCTCTTCTTTGAGCAATGCCTGGCTGTCGTCCCTGTGCCAGAGAAAAGCTTCAACCAGACCTGGCACTGACCTCTCCCCTACCCCACAGCCATCTAGACTGCCAGGCTCCCCCCACAGGCTGCCCAGAGGACAGCCCTGTCTGTTTCTCCTACCTCCTGCCACCACTGGAGGGAAGAAGCCTGGTCCCTTCAGGGGCTGGAGAATCTTCCGGGATGTCAGAGATGATGGGTCCCCTGGCCCTGTGAGGAATGCTGAGGCCCAAGGTGGTCTCTGGGAGGGGCTGTAAGTAGATTAGGCCTAACCCTTCACCTCAAGCCACAGGGCAATCCAGACCCAATTAGTACCCACATGGACCAGGTCTAAGGGGGTAGATTTGCAGCCCATGCTGGGGAGTCTGGTCTGGGGGTGGGGGTGAGGCTGACCTCCATCTTCTCCTTTTTGGGGGGAGAGGAAGGGGGGAAAGGAATAGGTTCTCCATAAGCCCAGCTGTGCCCTAGGAGAAGCAAAACCTACCGACTGGATAAAGTAGGGGTCTTGTAGGAGGGCACCAGGTAGGGGGCAGGCACTGAATTTGGCCGGTGTTGGGCATGAGCTCCCCTCATCCAGCATCAGGGACCTGTGCAGGTGGCAGGATACAGATTTCAGCTCATGCCCCACAGTCTGCACTACCTCCCTCCCACAGGCCCCAGCAGCCCAGTCAGCAGAGCTGAGGCCTGTTGCCAGGGCATCAGTCACATGCTGAAGGCAGAAGGGGCTCCCCCCAGAGATGGGGGCCCTTTGGGGGTAGAAAGGGGGTAGGAGGGGGCATGGTTTGAACCCCAGACCCTCTGATGTTGGGATGCTTTGGGGAAAAGGGGAAGGGGCTGCTGGAATGGAAATTTGGGGATAAGGTCCTAGAACTGAAGGATCTGAGAGTTGGGCTTTGGTGGTGAAGTTGGGGGGAGAGGGGGAAAGTCCTGCAAGGGGGGTCTTGGGGAGATGGCCTTGGGGGGAGGAAGACTGGTATAGGGGGAGAGGGATGAGGACTCCGGAGGAAGGGGTTTCTGGAGGAGGAGGCAGGGAAGGTGCTGGATGCGGGGGTGGGGGGCAGGTGGGTGTCCCTAGCTTTCTCACTCACAGCTTTCTCTTAGCTCCTGTGTTGCTGGACCCAGCCTGAAGTGGCCCAAAGAGACACTGGATCAGCTGAAGAGGAAGCAAAGGGTTCATTCACCCTTTGGACCTCGCCCCCAGCCTAACAGGGCACTTTCAGGTGGGGTAGAGGACTGGCAGAGGGCGTATTTGGGAGGGGGAGAGGGAAGTCAGTCGGTGGGGGAGAGGGATACCTTGCCAACGACCCGGTGCTGCTGGCCCTGGCTCTGCCGCAGTGTCACCACCTCCCTCCATAAGATCTCGTTTTGCCTGGGAGAGGGGGTGGGAAGGGGCTGAGGCATCTGAGAGTTGTCCCAGTCACCACTCCCCGCAGACTGGCAAGTCCCAGCTCGCAACCACCCGGATGATCATCATCCACAGAGAACAGAGTTCCACAGCCCTGCCCATTTTGTCTGGATGAAGGCGCCAAGACCCGAGAGAGGAAGGCTGCCCAGAACTTCAGTATCCTCTCACCCAGACTCCCCGCTCCCCTACCCCTTTCCCGCCCTCCTCTGCGCCACGGACCTCCCTCTCCCCCAGCTCCCCTCCCCCGCCTCCACCCCGTACTGCCTGAGCTCCCGCAGCCGCGCCT